ATTTATTGAATAATGACAAATAAAACAAAAAATTAACATTAAAATTTAAGAATAATTACGTATTCGGGAAAGTGTGCATCAGTCTTACCTCCAAAAGAAAATTGGAGTGCCGAACCAAAATAGCATCATTTCTCATAATCCTACCCCTACTTTCTTTCGCACCTTCTGGAATCATCTTTGTCTCCATCTGCCTCACCTCCTTGACTCTTCCAATTCCTTCAATTTTTCAAACACAATCCCACAACACTAACTTAATCCCCAACACCCATATTTTCACCCCATTTTGCTGTTGCAATTCATCATACAGTAAGTGCTTCATTTTCCTACTAAGCTTTATCTACTTAAAAACGTCAAAAAAATCTATCCCTTTTTTGTTGGGTCTCTTTTATTTTTATTTATTGATTTATTTATTTTTTAGTTTTCAATGTTGGATTGTAATCCATACTCTTAGATTATCTTTGATTATAGGAATTAAGATGAATTGTTCTCCAATTTCACAACAAATATATCAAGATGAAATTGATGGGAACAGTTGCTCAACTTTACAAGTAGTAAATGACAACAATGACAACTTCTTAGCTATACAAGTGAATGATCTTGAGGGATTAGAAAGGATTTCTACTACCGTTGCTATGGAAATTGAAGGATGCAAAATGTTGGGTAAAGATGATATTACTAGTGGGATGCCTCATAAAGATATGCAATTTCCTTAAGCTCATGAATTTTATAATGAATATGCCAAAAGAGTGGGATTTAGTATTTGCATAGAGTCAGCAAGGAAACTGTCCCTAGATGGACCTATTAATCGAAAATATTTTGTTTGCTACAAGGTCAGAAAAAAGAGGAATTATAAGCCTAAAAAGATAGGAACATGTGACCATCCAAATTGAGTAAATTGTTGTGCTCGAATGTCTGTTCTCTTGAAAGATGGAGTTTGGATCATAAGCCAATTTATTGATGAACATAACCATGAGATGTTTAACTCCTCAAATAAAGTAAAAAAGGTTGTTATCCTACAATAAAGCACACTTATTATTGGGGACAATTAAGCTAATGAATCAATATAAACAAGCTGGTTGTGGACCTTCTAGAATTGCAAGACTTTTGAATGTGACTGGCAGTGATACATCAAATATTACCACACAAGAATGTTAGCAACATTTGAGGAAAAAAAAAGGAGAGCAACATTGGTCATGAGTGCATGATGCTTATGCAATAATTCCTATTCATTACTGCTTTAGATGACAATTTTTACCATGCCATAAAGATCGACAAAGATGGTATTTGTAAGGAGCTTGTCTTGGGTAGATGGGAGAGTTAGAGAAATGTATCAAATTTTGGTGATGTGGTTTTTAATGTGACATATCAAACTAACAGATTTCTTTTACCATTTGCTCTATTTACAAGTGTGAACTATCATTGGTAGTTAACCTTGTTTAGGTGTGCCTTCTTATTGGATGAACAAGAAGATACCTTTGTGTGGTTATTTGAACAATGGCAATGCTGCATGGGGGGTAAAGCACTAGGTGCAATTATCACTAGCCAAAACCCAACAATCACTAATGCAATTAAAAGGGTCTTTCCAAACACATGCCAAAGGTTTTATAGTTGGCACAACTCACTTCATGAGGATGAGCAACTTTGTGCTTTAAGATTATCATATAATCCTGGATTTGATGAACAATATTATAAATGAGTAAGAAAAAGTAAACCATTGAAGAAGCTAAGAGTGCATGGAAAAAGTTGAAGGAGAAATATCAACAAGAATTTATGGAGCCATTGACGAATAAGCAACACAATGAAAAAAAAGTCTTAGAAATGGTTAGAAAGTATGTACAAGCAACAATATAGTTGCATGGATGTGTAGTTGAGGGACATGTTTGCTAGAATGAGATCAAGTCAACGAAGTGAGAGCATTAATTCATTTTTTAATGGTTATGTGAACTCCATGATGCCATTGTCTAAGTGTGATGGCCAATATGCTAAATCTCTACAATGCCATCATGCTGAGGAAGTGAATGAAGACATGTGGACAATGAGAGCAAAGCCAAATCCGCATCACTTGCATAAGTTAGAAGTTCAAGCTGGAATGGTTTACACTAGAAAGATGTTTGCTAAATTTTAGATTGAGTTCAAAGATTCTTTATATTGTCTGCATGATGAGGTAGCTACTAGTGATGGAATGACCACGTATGATGTTAGTTATGGGTTTGGGGGCAAGGTTGATTCACACTTCATGTGATGTGATCCATCTAAAAAGGAATTGGTTTGTACTTGTGGGAAGTTTGAGACTTGTGGTATTTTGTGTAAACATATTCTGCACACAATGATGCAATGTTATCGAATGGAAGAGATTCTTGTACGATACATTTTGGCTAGATGAACCTTAGCATACAGACATACCAATAAACAAGCTCAATTGATAAACACATCAAAAGATTTAATGGTTTCTACACTTGATTCTTGGAATCTTTGAAAATCTCTTAATACAGTGCATGACCAAATAGTAAATCATAGCAAACTTTATAATGCTAATGCATCAATGGTGGAAGATTTGAAGAGGCAATTATATAGTATTAGAAAGGAACTTGAAGGTTTGGTTACTAAAGAGTGAGCAAGATTTTGGTGCTCAAGCAATATCTCAAAATTTAATTTTAAGTAATATAAATATCTGTGATCCGAAAAGGGTTAGAACCAAGAGTCGACCATAGGAACTTTCTAAGATTCTTGTAGTGTATGTGGTATCAAAGGTCATGATTTTAGGACTTGCGGACAAACAAAAGAAATGGTAAAATTGTTAAGTTAATCATTATTTTTCACTTTTTGACACCTTATTTCCATGTAACTAACGAATATCTTGGTTATGTGCTTTGTTTATTAGGTCACAAAAAATGGAAGTCCAAGTTAGCTATCCCATGCAAAGGAGTGATTGTTATGATAGAATAGTCATTGATTTGATGAATTTTAAGTTGTTTAGTATAAGGTTTGTTTTTTATATGAACTAAGCTTATTTTGTAAAGAATTGGAGCTTAAGTTGTTTAGTGTTAGGTTTGTTTTTTTTTATCTAAACTGAGCTTATTTTGTGAAGTTTATAGAAATTTGCAATGCACTTATACAAGTTCTCTTAATAATGTGTAATGCCGTTAGAGAAGTTTTTTATTCTAGATTTCCTACATAGATTTGTGCAAATTTTGTTAATTGTAGTGGAAATTTATTCTGTACATAAAAGGTCAATTGCTCACTTTTTGCATATGGCCAATTTACATTGTATATGAGCTTACAAGTCACATTTTGTCATAATAAAGCCAAAAATAAATGAAAAAGAAGAAGCCAAAAACAAGTTAAGGCTAAATCTATAGAATGCCTTGTTTTTTGGCCTTTTTGCAGTATGCCTTGTTCAACTCATTCTTCACAACATTCTCCTTAATAAAGGAAACTATCTTCCTCTCAAAAGCAACAACAACCTCATTATTTAATTGTTCAACCTCATCATTGAAAAAGACCTCTTAAGGCCTCATTTCTGCTAAGTTGGCTCTTCAATAGTTGTAAAGACAAAAGGTAACATCATTTGCCCTTTGCTTTCATGCCATCCAATTTGTTAAAATCCAACCTGTCATAACAAAAGAACTTTCTTTCACCTACTTGAATTTTTCCAAAGCATTAACCTTGTCCAAACAACACAATAAACAAAAACATTTCCATTTAACTTGATCAAAGAGTGATTAATTCTTTCTTGTTCCAAAAAGAAATGATTGTCATATACACAAATGCAACCTTCAAATTAAAACTATAATGTCAGGCCCAAATTCTGGAACAAATAAATTCTAATAGCAAATGTACCAATATGGAGCCTTAATGTAAGGAACAAATAAAAAATACTAATTTGGAAAACCCCAAACAAAGCCTCTAGAGGGCATCAAGGAAAACAATACTAAATTTTAATAATATAGAGCAGTTCTAAAGAAAGCCCATTAAAACAATACCATTAATACTATAGTCACTTGCATGCCTCCATCCTCACAATGCTAGTATTCTATAGCATGAACAAATAATCTATAAGGCACCAGTTTAAGAATTTTGTCATCAGATAACTAAGAAAAGATGGCTTTGGTTGCCAAATTTATTGAATAAATAAACAATTCCTAAAAGAAACCTTTTTTTCTTTAGATTCAACAAGAAATTGGTGTAAGAAAACAAAAAACTTATTGTCCCTGTTGTTGCTGAAGAACAAAGAGGGTAAATCATTGAATTTTAGAAGGTCATTTCCCTTGATCCCTTCATTTCCTTCAATCCCTTCTCTATTACCATGATGGAGGTGATGAATTGCAACAGTAGAAAGGGGTGAAAATGGTGAGTGCTAGGGATTAAATTGATGATGCACAATTTTCTTTTGAAAAATTGAAGGAATCGGAGGAGTTGAGGAGGCAAGGAAGATGGAGATGATTCTAGAAGGGGTGAAAGTCATTTCCTTTGATCCTTTCTCTATTACCATCGATGGAGATAATGAATTACAATAGTAGAATATGGTGAAAATAGTGGGTGCTGGGGATTAAGTCAGTGGCATGGGATTGTGTTTAAAAAATTGAAGGAATCGAAGGAGTCGAGGAGGCAAGGGAGATGGAGATGGAGACGATTCCAGAAGGAGCAAAAAACAGTAGGGATGGGATTATGAGAAACGATATTGTTTGGTTTGGCACTCCAATTTTCTTTTGAAGGTAAGATTGACGTGCACTTTCACATTACATATTATAAGGCATATTATTTATAATATTAAAAGATAAGTTATATATTAGTTAACAATTAATATTTTTATTTTTAAAAAATTTATTAATATTATATATATTACCTTATTTTATGATATGGCTTATATTACATTATTAAATTTTAATTTTAATTACAAATTTTAATTATTTTTATCAATGCTCTTATTTACTTTTATTGTATTTATAAATGTTGTTTTGTAATTATAACAGTATATATAACATTCCTTTTGAATTGTAAAAAATTGGAACCCACTCGTCGTGGGTTGGGGGTTATTTATTTCTTATTAGTGGGAGTGGAGGATCGTGGCAGAGGCGGTAACCGTCTTAACCGTCACGAGCAAAAACTAAGAAAACACTAAGAATATCAAGTGAATGCTTTTTCTTCATCTTCGTCTCTACTAAACTATGAAGAGAGAAATGGAAGGGAAAGGAGAAGAAATAAGGAAAGGGCCATGGAAAGCAGAAGAAGACGCAGTGTTAATCAACCATGTCAAGAGATATGGTCCCAGGGACTGGAGCTCCATTCGATCCAAAGGCCTTTTGCAGAGAACCGGCAAGTCCTGCCGTCTCCGATGGGTCAACAAGCTTAGACCCAACTTGAAGAAGTAATCATCACTACCCTAATTAAGTACCTCGTTTCTTAATGTATTAATTGAATTAATCTGCGCAACCAAGATTTGAATTTGATTCTTTCTCCATCTGATCGCTGCGTGTTTGTGTTTATGCCTGTGTGAGGTTACTGAAATGGGTTTGTGTTTGATTAACAGTGGGTGCAAGTTTACGGTACAAGAAGAGAGAATGGTGATAGATTTGCAGGCACAGTTTGGGAACAAATGGGCTAGAATCGCTACGTATTTGCCTGGAAGGACTGACAATGATGTTAAGAATTTCTGGAGCAGTAGGCAGAAGAGGCTGGCTAGGATTCTGCAGAATTCTGCGACACCCTCCAACTCCAAATCCCAGAAAACCAAAGTGGACTCCCCTGATATGGAGGTAAACAATAAATATATCACTTTACATTTGGGGTTTGAATTATGGCTGTTTTTCGAAGGCCAATCTTATGGGAATTAAACATGCATAATCTTGAGTCATGAATTATGATCAGAGTTCTATGCAAAGAAAAGGAAGTTTATCACTACTGTCGCTTGCTTTCAATTAGATGCATGGCTTTATTATAAACTGTTAATGGATTATTAATTAAATTGTCTTTCGATTCCAATTCTCAGGCAACAAAGTTTTGCTCGTCAATGGAGGATGAATCATCATCAACGCTACAATCCTGCTCATCATCCTACATCGACAATTCTGAGACCATCAAAATGGTACTATTGCCTGAACTTGTGAAGCCTAATTTACCCAGTCTTGATGTTGACCTTACTCAGTTGGAAAAACAGCGATGCACTGATGTCCAATTAGAAACCCCCTTTAGCCAACCAGACCTCACATTCTCGCTGGAAAGCCAAGAACTTGTGGCAAGATTTGAGGACTCTAACTTTTCTCAAGTGTTTGCATCAGTAAGTGCTGATGCTCCTGAACTAGGAGGACATGTACCTCTTGCACAGCCATTCTTTGAGCCAGTTCTAAGAACGAGGGATGAAAGTGGAGTTGACCCTTTGGCATTGGATGCATTCGATGAATTCCCCACTGACATGTTTGATCAATTGGACCCCCTTCAAAGTCCATGAGAGTGATTAGATAAGTATGCAGCCCCTAACTGTACAAGGTCTGTATTTATGCAGGTTTGTAGGAGGTTCTCTTGTTTCCACTTTGTGTTGTGATTAAAGAAGTTGTTGATCATGTAAAAACACTAAACTGAAGATGGTTTGTGTTCTCATTTCTATGCTGATCCCATTACAATGTATAAATTAGGAGATGGAAAAATCAATTTAATAGACCTGTAAGGCATTAATGGCTACTCCACCCTATTCCTGTCTAATAATTTTCTACTTATTTTTAGCTGATGATTAAAGATTAGTTATTACCACCTCTCTTTATAATTTTTTAAACTTTGTTAATTTTGTTTTATTTTTACGCTTTGATTAAAGAGTAGCTAACACCTCCCAACTAACCGCAACAGAAGACGCTTGTTTTGCCCCATTTTTGTAACAACAAATACTCCTTTACAACAGAGGCATACAAAAATGCATTTTCAAATTGTTATTTCTTGATGACCAAAAGATACTGCTTTTTCTTGATGGCAAATAATAATAATAATAAGAAGAAAAACAGAGAAAATCAAAATTATAACTATTAAATATGTAAAAAAATAATGTAAGTTTTAATTTCATCAACTTCATTATATATTTATTAATAAATGTCTTAACATTTTTAATATTAAGACATCTTTATTTTTTTCTCTTTCTTTTTTTCCTAATAATAATAATAATAATAATAATAAAGAATAATAAATAATAAATAATAAACTTGCAATTTGAGGACTTGGAGACATTAATTATGGAAGAACAATCCTTTTTTTGTTGCCCGACTTACTAAACAGATGAAAAGCATTTGTGTTTACACCATTGAATTGATATTTATGGTGTAAACAATATGATAACAGTAAGAAACTGGAAACATATACTAGAAATTTCTTTGTAGAAAGAAAACTCAATGTTAACAAAATATTGGCCACACAAAACAATGCATACAACCAATTAAACCAAAGCCTGCTAATTTCTAATAATTTACAAGCTGCCTGCCTGCACGTATACTATATACATTCTAGAAGCTGACTTCTCAGAACAGTAGAACGTGGCAGAGAACACAGGTTAAAAGAAGAAGGGAGATGCTAGTTGAGGACCTGAACATCTCAGATTAAAAAAAAAGAAAAAAGAATGGCAAAGTAGACTAAGTATCAAGAAATAGGGAATGAAAGAATTGTATCATCTCTACACCACTGTATAATTGTATGTTTTGCCCTTTTCCCCTTGAGCAGCAAACTTCTGTGTCATGTAGCCGAGCAGAACATGCAGAAAAGAAAATGTTCTTTCCTTCTCATCTGTCATAGATGCTTTGAAATGAAGGCATCCTCAACATTTTCTAATCAAAATCTAGCCCTCTACCAGCCATTGAACTTGGAATGATACAGGACTTCATTTAGCACAGACTTTCCCTCTTATTTCTGACTGCAAGCGGGTCTATAATTAATGAAATCAGTACAAGGAATTGAAAATTAGTTGCATACATTTTTTTTTTTAGGGTAAATTGGCTGAACGCATTTACAAAATAGTTTCAAGAAATGAAACAGATACCTTAATTTCACAAGCATGTGTTTTTTCTCGTTTTGCAGATGAATTGAGGGAAAAAAGTAACATCATATAGGATTTCAATTATCACTTCTAAAGGTCAAGCAAGAATTTATCATTTCGTAAAACCAATAAGGACAAACATACAAAGTTAAGAGGAGATGGACTCAGATTCCCCAACCCCCACCCCTATTGTTTAAAAAAAATGTAACAATAAAATTTAATTTAGGGAAGTAATGTGGAGCAATGCAATCTACAAATCATACAAAGTCATGCACATATGATGACTTACTGGATATCGCCCCTCAGGAGTTGATCTAGTACTAGGATCTGTAGCTTGTGATTGTTGGCCTCGAATAAGTCTTTTAATAAAATCATGTACATGATTATAGATGCTGCATGCCATCACAAGAAAATATGTATATTAGTAGAAACACATCATATTTGAGCCCATTCAGCTCCAAAAAATAATAATAATAGTAACAATAACATATAAACAAACTTGAGCTCATCCACAAAAATCTTTAAAGAACATAAAGTCAGTTTTACAGAACTTCAGAATGCCTGAGATTTTACCCATTCAAACCAAGCAATCAAGCAATTCAACTTTTTAGTTATATATGTTCAAATAATTTATACGAATTATCCTTTTTCTGTTGTAATTTTCATCTTCTCAGCACATACCAATATCAGGAGGCCAAGTAAAACCAGACAACAATATTCATATAAAGCTATTTAAATCTCAAGAGCATCTAAAGTATAAAGATATGGATATCTTAGTATCTATCTGTAAATTGTAGAAGTGATAAATAATTTTCATAAAAGGAGTATGATGCAACAGAGCAAAAAAAATGTGTTTGCATGATGGCTTCATGTCTAGTAAATAAAAGCTATAAAGCAGTACAGATAAACATTAGATTTGAAGAATGAAATGTTGATACCTGAGGCGATGTCTGTTGCAGGCTGCAAAGAAGGCAACAAAACCATTTAAAATGCTTCTAAGAGCACGAAACACCTGAAAAGATCATTGTAAATAATAAGAATCATATCAAATGTATAGATAATATTTCCTAATCTAGTTTTTATTTGTGATGTCTTCTAACCTGTGAAAAGAGGTCATTCCAAAGAGAACGCCACATGGGAACTTCATATGAGCTAACAGTTGCCTCAGTAGCTGAAGCAATCTGGAAAATGCTACTCAAAGACCGCCATATATGTCCCAGAAAATCAGATGTGCAGGCAAAGACAAAAGCCACAGAATTGAATAATGCACGGACCAAGCGTATCGGAGCATATAGTGTTTCCCAAAGAATCCAGAATATTGGATACAAAACTGTAATTGCTGCAATACAAAACTGTAATATTTATGCCCTCTTCTCCAACAAACAAACATATTAACAAAAGAAAAAGCAAAAGCAACTAAGGCAGGTAATGACATACCAATATTCCAGATAGTTGTGAGAATCAGCCATGCAGGTTGCAGAATAACCTTTATGAGGTCCTCTAATAGATTGCAAGAAGACTCTATCATGATCCATATGACTGAAAATGAGCTCCCTGCCGTTTTGCTTAACATGGTCCACAATGGAACAAACAATTCTAAGAATTCCATAACTGGTTCTGTCAAGGGTAGAGTAAAATATGAAAAAAATGACCTAGTAGCATGTGTAACCATCAAAAACCATTTTATGGCCTTCTGAAAGTTATGAAGAAATAGCATAGTTCCCAAGTACTTGATCCTTGACACCATCTCCCAAGTTTCTATCCAGTCAAAGAGAGGCCCACATAAGCGGGAAGCAGTTGCCTTAAGGACAGGGACATTCTTGTATAAATCATAGAATCCTATTATAACAGTGACAATTGAAATCAACACATATAAAGCTCTTGCCAGAGGACACATCCAAGGGCGATAAATATGGCAGAAGCCTGGATATGATTGAAGGAAAAGAACCCAAGATGGAAGACCAGCCTCTAGTAAAGTAAGTAACCTCAGATCCGACATTATTATTTGCTTCAATTTAAAAGGGAGGTCTCTGTCATTGAACCTGAACAAAAGTAACACATCACGATAATGAGTAGGTTCAACTGCATTTTCATGTTCATCAGCCTCTGAGCAGTTCAATGTATCTTTGACTTGGCTTTGTCTTTCCTCACAATAGACATCAACTTCAACTCCATTTTTAACAGCCTTAGTTACTTTTCGTCTCTTGTAAGGTCCAGTAGGAGGGGGAGTGTGTGGCATATCAGTTTCAGTTTCATCTTCCACAGAAACAGGGTACACTGTGAAACTACCATAAAGACCACAGGGAGAGTTCTCCATAAAGCTGAGATTATCATCACATGTACTTTCAATGTCATCATTGACAGGGACAGTCCTTGGAAAATCTTCTTCAGCATCATAGAAGACCTCTCCTGAGAAAATTCGACATAATGCAATATATTAGAAGCATAATAGTATCACTGCAATGAGAACAAAATGCAAAATCTTGTTTCAGGTTTCTAAAGGTCAACATGTGGCATAGAGCAAAATTCATATACACTGTACTACACTTGAATTTCTAATAAACGAAAACTAGAAGAAAGCTTTGCATGAATCAAATGTAAATTACAGTAGTAGATGAACAAATTAATATGGGAATAAACAAAGATACAAATGAGCACATGCATGCACAGACATACTCATACATACTGGATGCCTTCAGTTGGAGATAATTGGGGTCCATCACTTCTTTTTGGGATAAATTTTCCTAGTATTTCAGTAGAATGCTTCTTATGGTAGCTCCACTGCCAAAATATTTGCCAGAAAAGTTTAAAGGAAGATTCTGCTTATTATCAGATTGATATCAATTGAGCTGTGATTTGTACTGATCAGAATGTGGGATCTTGTGAGGCAAAGTTTTTATTGCCAGTTAGATGCTCTAAAAGTCACAATGATTATTTTCAAGATAAATCACTAGGAATTGATCCATGAGATCACCCACATGTTAAACAAAAAAATAAAAATAAAAAAATAAAAATAAAAAAAAAAACAACCAAGCAAGGAATAAGAATAAAGTACTTTTGGCATGATACAGGCCACTAATTGGCTAATAACATGCCTGCAACAAGTTGAATTAGCCTTAACCAGAAAAGTGAAAAATTTGTTGAAATTGCATATAGAAAATCCAAAACATTTCAGGTTTCACTAAATTAGTAGGTTTTGCCTGAGCAGCACAAGATTTGTATGACATATACAGAGGCATGTTTCTTTACAGAAACAATAGTCCACTTTGGGTACACAGTCTTAATCATAGGCAATTTGGAATCAGAGATTATAAGTGCCTCCTGTTCCTGCCAGTTTTTTTTTACCCTAATTAGAATCTAGACAAGATGAGAAAGGAAAATAAAATAAGTAAACAGTGCTTAAGATATTCTCCTACACCTCCAAGACTTACAAAATAACAAGAAGTAGAAGGCTATCAACGCAAACCTAAGCTGCAATACCTAACTATTTAACAGTTTGTATCCACTAAAAAATTAATTCTTAAGATGATAATTGTGCCCCATTCATATATAGAGAAGATAACTTCTGATAAGACTGCCAAACTAGCTTAAGAAGATACCAATGGCTGAATCCAGATACTCTTTCAAGTGGTGCTTCTCATAAAGTGTTCCTGAGAACCATGAAGATAAACAGCCTACAGCTTGAGCTATGCTGTCAAACTCCCATCTTCGCATAGATTTTGCTTCAACGGCAAGAGAAGTATCAGTCTGTATATTACGAATGAAAACACATTAATAACAAAAATAATTATAAGGAACTACAATTAAAGATGGAAGGGAGCACATACAAAGGCCAATACCTGAAGTTCGTTCAAGTAGTTAATACCTCGAACATTGGACCATGAGACTTCAAATACAATGAAACCATACAAGGTCCTATGCAGCTCACTGCTCTGAAGCAAAGAGTTTCTTAGTTTCTTAACAGGTAGTAATACCCTCTTTTTAGACAACGTTGATGCATCAATCAATGAGAACCATCTCTCAAACTTTTTGGACTCTGCAGTACTGGCTGTGGAAGATGCCTCATTTCTTGCCTTTCTCTCCCTACGCCCTTTCGTGTTTGCAAAAGGAGATAACCTGTACTATAAATAGATAAAGAATGACTTTCATTCAATTTAATATTCTTGAGTTTCAATTATAAATGGATAAAGGAAAACAATTGATAGTAAAGGATGAATATACCAACCTTTGTAACCATCAACTGCCACCAATGAGCTGACCGGGAGCCTAAGTCTTTCAGCCATGGCCTATTGTCCACCAAAATGTAAAATTTTTTACTTTCAACAGCCAAGAAAAGGCTAAGATCAGAAAGATAAGACTGCAAGTCTCTGCATCAATACACAGAATTGAACAAAAAAATTAGCAGACGGTAGATAAAAATTAACAGCACCATTATATCATATAGTAACAAAACATAGTGGAAGTGACAGTATTCAAAGCATACATCACTTTTATAAACGCATGTTCCATCAAGCAAGCCATAATCCTTACCAGGGGTAGAACCAGAATTTTGGTTTTGCATGCTCATCAATAAAAAGACAACACATTACAAAAAATAAATAAATAAAAAAAGGCATATTACAATCTTGCAAAGCCATAAAAATAAAAATAAAATTAAAAATTAAAAAAAAGAAAAAAAAAAGAAAAGAAAAGAAAAGAAAGGTGGATAACAATATAAAACATCAACAGAAAGAACACTTCAAGAAAAAAGAAAAAAGAAAAGGAAAAAAAAAAACAAGAAGAAGCAAAAACACAACAAAATAAACTGCAAGCATCCAACTCTAGAGTCTAGATCCGCTCCTCATCCTTGTGTATGAAAAGAGTCTCAGATATCTTTTATAAACAACCCATGAAAAGAAGTAAAGTTTAACCAGTAAAGAAGAAGCCTAATATCTCTTATAAAAACCAATAAACCAAATTATGTGATTCATTACCGGAAAATATTCACGAAGATTGAATTTCTGAATCTTAAGCTCAGACCCATAGTTGAAGCCATGAAGAAAAGCAAAGATTGGGAAGATGAAAACTTCAAATTTGCAAAAAAAGACTTTCATTCTGACAAACTTTGCTTTCAAATTGTAAATTTGTAATCAAGAACCAAAATTAAACATAAATTAAATCATATTAAGACCATCAAATTTCAACAATCTAAAAAAATTGCAAAGAAGACAAAGTAAAAAGTTACATAAACGTATATGAAGTTGGAATAGAAACAAAATTAAAATAATTGATTTATTACCCAATTTGGAGACTTGTTAAAGGGAACACACATCGCCCATTATCGTCTTTCCCCATCAAAGCCCTGCTCGGTCTAACCTCAAATTACAGTCGAACTCACCAGAAATCACTGCTTCTACAATCCACAAACGAAATCAGCCTCCAAAGTTAAGCAACATTACATACGATTCATCGCATGCATGAAAATAGACGAACCTTGATCACCGTCAACCTTCATTCATGACAGAGCAGAACCGGTGTCGACGGTGAAGAAATCGACGGCAGAGGATGGAAGATGGCGAGACGCAAATCTAGAGAAAACTAACTACAAATATGAAGAGAAGAGATGGATAGGTAGATATAATAAAGGCAGAGGTGCAGAGAAAAGGATTGGGAATTGGGAGTTGTGAATTGGGGACGGTTGGGTTTGAGGAGATGAATATGAATGCGGGAGAAAAGGGTAGAATAGGAAATTGAAGAATCGAGATCGAATGCTTTCCCGCGTCAGGGTGTTTGGCGGTTTCACAGAGGGGACTTGAGAGATGGATTGCAGGGGTGGTTAAAGTATATCTATTTCTGGCAAGCAAGACAGGTTTCTGCAAGCCAATCAACTTGGTACCGGGAGACAAAAGCGCGTGGGATGCGTGTTACCAATTTTTCTTTCAGAAAATTGTAATTGAGTTACTATTTTTTTTTTTTTTTAACAGTGTGAAGCTTTTTCGGGGAAGAGGGAAGGGAGTTCGTTAATCCTACTCACGTTTCGTAAGAGGTGGTGAGTAGGCCACCAAGCGTGGTACAATTGAGTTACCATATTTAGTTTGAGATAAGTGGGTATAAAAATTTGAAATTTTAAAATATACACATTATATATTTATTATGGTTTTAATTATGTGTATATAAGTTTAAAAATGTATACATAGGTATTGAGATTTTTATTAATAATATATACAGTGCTGTTATAGGAAAATTTTATTA